GTGTGTGTGTGTGTGTGTGTGTGTGTGTGTGTAGGTCAGAGGACAGCTTATAGAGTCAGTCAGTTCTCTTCTTCTTCCACCATGTAGGTTCCAGAGGGGCAACTACAGGCTGTCAGGCTCGGCAGTAAGCACCTTTACCCACTGTGGTAGCTTGAATGAGAAATGTCCCCTATAGGTTCGGTATTTGAACATTTGGTTCCTGATTGACGTGGCTTCCTGGGGGAGGTGGTGCAGCCTTGCTGGAGGAAGTATGTCACTTTGGGTGGGCTTTGAGAGTTGATCGCCTTGCCCAACTTTCAGTTCACTCTCCCTGCTGTGTGTTTGCAGGTGAAGATATGATTTTTAGACTTCCTGCTCCTGCTGCCAGGCCTGATATTTGAAGCCATTCTGCCCCGCCATGACAGACTCACCCATTGGCAACTGTTAATCAAAATAAACTCTCTTCCTTAAGTTGCCTTTGGTCACATAAACAGAGACGTAACCAAAACACCCACTGAACCACCCAGCCAGGCCTTTTCTTCACATGTTTTAAAAATAAAGACCTCCCCTAAACCTATTAGTGGGGGGTTGACCTTGGTCATGCCTCCAGGAAACAGGATTCTCCTTTGGGTCTCTGGGGACTGTGCAACTGTGGAACTTACCTGCAGTCCTCACTCTCCAGCAGGCCCCGGTATGTGTTGATCTCACACTCCAGCCGAGCCCGTACGTCCAGCAGCACCTGGTACTCCTGGTTCTGACGCTCCAGGTCACAGCGGATCTCAGCCAGCTGGTGCTCCACACTGTCAATTAGGCACTGCATCTGGGCCAGCTGTGTGCTGTACTGGGCCTCGGTTTCAGCCACAGTACATTCCAGAGATTCTGTCTGCAAGAGGAAGACCTCAGAAGGATCCTATGACAAACTTTGCTGTACCCCTTTCCAGCTCCAAGACTTTAGGCAAGTTACTTAGCTTCCTGTTTTAATCTATAGCCCATGGAGAATGCAAAGTACCTATGTCTTGGGGTGGCTAGGAGGGTGAAATTAGTTGGCATATGGGGGGCACTTGGTACAGTGCCTGTAAGAAATTTAAGGTCTTTAAATGTGTCACCTCTATCTTTATGACTACTGTCCTCTAGGACTTATTTGAGTAGCTTAAGGAGGGTTGACAGCATTTGGGAAGTCACTCCCAGGATAAGCACCGGGCAGAGAAGAGCATCGCACTGTATCACAATGACAGAATATTGGGGATTCAAACTCCTAGATTCCATTTCCACTGAGAACTGTTCCACGTTCTGGAACTCACTTCCTTTGACCCTAGCTTTTCCCTGTCTGTGAAGATGTCTGCCATAGATTATACTGAGCCTCCCTAGATGAATGCTCAGGTGTGGTTCATCTAGCTGTACTCTTTGGACCCAAATACATACTGTGCCTGATGGGACCTGGTATATGTGACGCTGACTGCATGGTGCTCTTGTTGCTTGGGTGGGGAGGGGTGTGGCAATGTGAAGATATCAGCTGTAGTATGCATATTTGAAAAATGATTTTTTTGGTGTGTTTTAGACACAGTGGTGAAACTGGAAAACTGCCCATTGATAAAAGGGAATTAAAATCTGTTGCTAGGTTTAAGTGCCTTTGGCTCAGCTGTCCCTGTCCCACTGTGTTCTGAGATTCTTTTTGTTTTTAGTGGGTGGTATTGGGGACACACTTAGGCCTAGGAGGACCAGGGAGACAGCCTGGTGAGACCAAGAAAGCTGTAGCTGTCTCTGCTTCCAATATGGACTGTTAATATATGTGGAGAAAGGCAGGGAAATGCCACCCTGGCTAGTTGGATACTCAGACCAGCTGAGTGAACTGTGAGCATCTCCCTGGACTTCTGTCCAAGAGTGTAGCCTCCCCAGGCATGTCGCTGACAAGGGATGACACTGTTTGTCCCACGCACCAGTGTTTGCTGCGCCTGGAGCTCAATTTCCAGAGTGTTGGCCGTGCGCTTCAGCTCCAGCACCTCAGACTGGCATCCCTGCAGCTGCTCGGCACTGGACATCTGCTGATGGTTCAGCTCTTCTGTCTGAAACACAGGCCCTGTTGGACTGCCTGGCAAGGCTCCCTCCCGGAAGCCTGCCCTTTCCGGTGGGCACTTGCTCCCTCCCGGAAGCCCGCCCTTTCGGGTGGGCACTGACCTGAGCAGCGAACCACTCCTCCGCATCCCTGCGGTTGTTGGCCAGTACCCTCTCATATTGACATCGCATCTCATCCAGGACCTTGTTGAGGTCCACAGTGGGGGCAGTGTCCAGCTCCACGCTGAGCCGATCTCCAAGCTGCTCACGAAGCAAGTTGACCTCCTAAGAGGGGAAATGGAATAAAGAATGTGGGTGGGGTGGGGTGGGGGGGGGGGGGGGGGGGGGCGG